CCAGAGAAGCGGCCCGGCTGCTGCGCCTCTGCTGCTCCACTCCGTGTGTTTTTCACACTGCCCCATGGGGGCAGAATTGAGCCCAGTGCTGCTCCTTCCCGTCCAGGCTCCCCTGGGGGTGTGTCCCCACCTGTCCCCATCGGTCCAGCGACAGCAGTCCTCCGGTCCCTCCTTCCCTTTGTGGCGTCCCCCTGCACTTCCCCCTGCGACCTGCAGTACCCTGCTCACTGCGGCTTCAGCACGACCCTCCTCCCAGTTCTTGAGCCCATCTTCTTTCCGCGTCCTCGCTGATGTGGGCCCAGTGTGGGAGCCGGCGTCCTGGGAGCTGTAGGGGCAGGGAAAGCAGGGGCTTAACCCACTCAGCTGCTGCTCTGAGCCGAGTCCCAGCTTCTCCCCAGGTGGAATTAATCTCATCATTTGATTCCCATGAGATTTTATCCAAATCTGAGCCATTTGAGTTAACACTGCGCATCGTATAGTGTGTTTTCTCTTAGCTTCAGAATTAAATATTTGAACCATGCATGACTTTAAGATGTGTGTGTATGTGTGTGGATACACACGTGCAGCACATGTTTAATGTGCTTATTTTGTTCGGATATGATCTGCCTTGCTTGACAGACACCTGAACCTCTTCCTGGTCCAGGCTCCGTTTGCCCTAAGCCGTAGCTCTCACCGTGCGCCATGCAGTGCTGTGCCTTCGCTGGCAAATACAGACTTCTGATGATGGCAAAACTGTACAGTTTGCTCACAATTACCTGAAATTTCTCTTAAGACTAACAAGTAAGAGTAGAGTTTCAGGCCAGTAGAATCTGTTTTAAACTCAGGTGGTCGGATTAGGTTTAAAAGGTCTTGACCCTCCATCTCTCTTTGTTGAACTACAAGAAAGTAATAGAATACTGTTTAATGCTCTTGGCGTCGTCAACATTTTATGCCCTAGAAAGTCTTGAGTTAAGAATGTAGCCTTTTCATTTCAGTTCCAAGTTCCTGCCTTATTTTCCTCTCTTCCAGGAAACCAACGTCCTCGGGTTTAAAGGCCCTCGGAAGATGTCTGTGATCGTTCCCGGGATGACCATGAATCATGAACGGATCCCATTTCAGCCACGAAATGTAAGTAAGAGCGTATTTAATCAGCAAAGGGCTCTGAGAGACAAGACTGCAGTACCAACGAGATCAATGGAAAAAAGTATTGATTCTTCCAGAGCCCAGCCGGGAGGGTGGCTCACAGTCCCTTCAGGAGCCATCCCCCCGGACCCAGGTCAGCGCAGTTGCTGACGTGGTTGATTTGCAAAGAGAAATGCTAGTTATTCTACAGGAATCTAAAAAAACCTTGCTGAATTTCTGGCTTTTTTCATTTGTTTTACTTTGTTTTACTTCCTGCTCTGCCTCCTGCCCCCAGCGTTGAGGATGAGCGGTCTCCCGTGGTCCTCAGGACAGACAGGTGCCTTTCATTTCCAACAGGACCATGAGAGCTTGCTTTCAAAGTGGCAAAGCAAGACCATGGAGAACTTGATTGAACTGCACAACAAGTCCCCAGTCTGGAATGATGACACCCAGTCCTACGTCCTGAACTTCCACGGCCGGGTCACACAGGCGTCTGTGAAGAACTTCCAGATAGTCCACGAAAGTGACCGTAAGCCCCCAGGAAGGGCTGGGCGGGGACAGGAGGGAAGATGTTCTTTCAGGAGTCAGAAATGAGCATCGTTGGGAGGAAGTCATATTCAGGCGAGAATGATTTGAGAAGGAAATGATTTCTTTGGAAAGACAGAACTACAGCCTCACAGTTAAATTCCTGAACCGCCGCGCTGCAGAGGGCGGCGGGGTGGGAGAGCTTCCTTGAGGCAGGGCAGGAGGCCTCGGGGAGGCTGCTGGGCGTGGCCGCGGGGACCTTCGCACAGTGAGGGCTCCTGGCGGCCCCCGGCACCGGTGCTGCCCCGGCCAGCGCCTCAGGCTGCTCTCACCTCTTGCCCTTTCCTGCTGGCTGGGGGGCCCCGTCCCTGGAGCTGCACGGGGCACAGTGCGGACTGCTCACGGTCCCCGCCGCTCTTGTCCACGCCCCCTCCCGTCCGTAAGCCTCCCGTGTGAAGAGACTTGGTGGCTAACTGGCCTGTTGGGGGGTTTTTCTGTATCTCAGGTAGGCTCTTCCCCAGGTTCTAACGTCCCGATTTTTCCTGCTCCCAGCGGACTATATAGTCATGCAGTTCGGACGTGTGGCCGACGACGTGTTCACACTGGACTACAGCTACCCGCTGTGTGCCCTTCAGGCCTTTGCCATCGGGCTCTCCAGCTTCGACAGCAAGCTGGCATGCGAGTGAGGGAGCGGCGGCGCTGGCCTTCTCCCCGCAGAGCTGTCCTGGGCGCAGCCGCCGCCCTGCTCTTGCCCCAGGACACGCAGAGCTACGGTCTGCCCCTTTCGGGATGATCCCTGAGAGTATATACGCGTGTCTGTGCACGCGCCACCCCGCCCAGTCCCCGCGCCGCTCGGGGATCACAGCCTGACCGGGTGGGGGACGGTTCGAAGCCCGGAGAGGCCCTTGTCCAGAGCAGGGGACTCCTGAAGTCAGTGCCCAGCAGAGTCAGAGTTCTTGTGCCTGGAAATTCGTAGCCAAAGCGAGCTTCTTAAATATGCGAGTCTCCTTTTTTGAAGACCTTTTCAGAGAGGGAGAGTTCCCTGAACTGCCTTTATCTCCAGGCCTGCAAACTTTCCCCGTAAACGGCCGGTAGTGTCTTAACACTGCGCTGCTCTGTGGCGGCCAGTTCATCCACGGGGCCGCGGCTGTGTCCCTGACACGGGCGGCAGGCCAGCCCCTCCTGTGGGCATCCCTCTCTCATCCAGAATGGGTCCCCAGTTGTGAGAGCATCTGAGTCGGGGGCTGTCTCTGAGAAGCAGCCGTCCTGCAGGTCGACTCTGAAGAGACGTGCAGCCTCATTCGCTGTAACGTAGCTTTTACCTTGTTTGGAATGATTTCCAGAGTCATTTGCCGTCAGAACTGGGAACCCGAGTCAGTCCTCGTTCTGAGTCCACACGGCTGGCTTGATTCTGCCATCCCACCCACCTCGCCCGTGGGGGACGGTGCGCCGCCGTCTCTGTGGACAGAGCGTGTGCCGGGTCCCCAGAACTAGCCACCCCCGCCCCTTCCCCGTGTCACAGCCCCTCTCCCCTTGTTCTCAGCAGGTTGGCTGGCTCCGATCTCAGAGTGGCTGTGGCCAGATGTATGATCAGTGATGTGAGAAATGTACGTGAGCGTCCTCATTTTGGTTTAGGCTGGAAGTGTAAACTCTAGAGGCGACCGGGTCTAGTTAAGCCTGAGGACTGCTGGACAGTGGCCTTCACTGTCAGCCCGGGAGGCCTCCCACAGCCGTGCGGCCGCGGAGCGGTCGGCGTAGAGGCACACGCCCGCGGACGTGTGGGGGGTGCCAGAACAGTGTGTGTGGAGACTTGCCGTTGTCACTGTGGAGAGGGGCAGGGACCAGAGCTTGCTGGCAGGGCCGGGCCTCTCTTCTCAACGTGAGCACCGTCCGCTCCCGAGGCCCATTCGTCCGAGATCACGTCCCGTCATGAGCTTCTCACAGATTGTAAGAGTTCTGCTCAGTCGTTCAGATTATTAGCATCTCCCAGCGAATCGTGTGAGGCTGCCAGGTCACGGCCCCCGAGCGCACCTGGGTGTGGAGGACTCAGGAGCCCGGTGAGCTCTGTGCTGGCGATGTCGCCTCCCAGGCTCTGCACGGGGCCAGGCGTCAGCGGCTGTCGCTCCATTGTGTTTCCCTCCTGTGGACTTCCTCCCTGTCCCCGCTGCCTGCTGTCGCTGCTCCACGTCCAACAGCAGTGGGAAAGGCCAGGGACGAGAAGGCCCGCGCTCACCCGCCGGCGGGCCCCACCCGCTGTCCTGCCGAGGTCGGTCCCTGAGTCCCAGGCCTGCTTGCCCTCAAGTGCCTCGTTCAGAGAAGTGCCCGCCAGCCCCCTGGCGCCGCCGTCCCCGAGTGCCCCCTGTCTGACAAGCTGCGGCGTTGAAAACGGAAGGCTGGTCCCTTGTCTCCAGATGCAGAGTATGAAGGGTCCCAGGAGGGGCCGCGGGGCCTGAGCCCGCTCCGGCTCAGAGACGCCCCCCGCTTCGCGCGCTCCTGCTTGGGTGCGCAGGTGGTTGGTTTTACGTGAATCGTATTCATATCTTTTGTGGCCACAGAAATAAAAAGTGATTTCCGTGACAATGTGAGTGTTGCCATTCGTCTTTCCAAGTCCCATCCCTCGCTCGGCCCGCACCTTCATGTTCTGTCACAGTAATTGCATCGCTTGGCGGCAGTGAATGGGGTCAGTTCTTTGAAGCCAGGTGACAGTCACCGTCAGCCTTCATCCCAGGGCAGGAGCCGAGTCTGCGTCCTGGAGGCTGTAGACTCACGCACACCACACCGACCTCAGAGCCGAGGCTGAGCGTGGCGGGCCCAGAGGTTCTGGATCCGTGGTTCTGGATCCGGCGCCGGGCAGCCTCCCGGGTCATCCTTGTGCTGCTTCTGGACTCAGCAGCGAAGCAAATCAGATATCTGCTAGTAAAGCAGAGCCCATCTCTTACCTCCGAGTGGGCACATTCAGAGCTTCCTTTCAGAGGCAGCTTGGACAGATGCACTCATGAGTCTGCAAGGCCTCCCTGCTCGCAGGGTGTGGTGGGGGGTGAATCACGTGAAGCAGGGAGAGCCCCGAGATCAGGGCGAGAGCTGGAGCCAGGCTGACTTTTATAGCTTGGTTTTTCTTTTTCATGATTCTTTTTGGCCAGTGTACTTGTGACACAGTTTTACACCCTTGCCAGTGACCAGAAGAAGATACCATGAAGATAACAGCAAGTGGTGGTTAAAAATGTAAGCTGGGCGGCCAGAGGCTCTCTGACCTGGAGGTCAGTAAATGAGAGAAGAGACGGATGAGCACCGTTCACCTTGAGCACTGTGGGTGCAGCGGCAGGTGACGGTTCCATCAGGCAAAGCCCCTGCGCTCTGGCCCTCTTCCTGCCAGTGATTTGCCAGATGCGTCTCTGGTCCTCGATAGATTGAGGGTTTTGAGTTCCTGACCCCTGCCCCTGAGGGATACAGTGCTCCCCGCTCACGCTGGCAGCCACCCCAAATCCCCATGTGTTGACTCGAGCTCTCTGGCTACCTCCTGGACAGCTACGTGCTGTTTGTGGCAGAAGAGACCTGGGGAGAAGACGTGGAGGCACGAGCCAGGGCCTGGGGAGGGAGACTGGGTGGCGGGAGCACCTCGTGGGAGGACCTGGTCCTGAGCCAGGAGAGCTGCCTTCCCGGCCGTGGACCCCGCGTGCTCCCCAAAGGAGACGTTGGGATGTTGGGTGTTGCACGTGCCCTTCTCCGCCTCCAGCTCCCCTCTGTGCGGACCAGCCCCTGCCTGTGTCCTCATGCCCCTTGTCCAGCATCTGCTCCTGTCCAGTCCAAGGCCCTTTAAACTTCCGCATGGGGACCCAGCTGCCCCCAGCCTCCATTTCCTGGCCAGGAGCAGGGGGCTGGTTTTCCCTCCTCTCCCCGCTTTGGTCTCCTAGCTGTCAGGGTCCGTGTGTACTCTTTCCAAGTCCCACAACCCTTCCATGGTCTGCAGAAACGGGGCGGTGGGGGGAGGACGCCACAGGTGATGCAGGATTCGCCCTGCGTGACCTGGGACCTTCAGGCCAGCCCTGGGTAAACGGCAGGCGGCTCTGTGGCACCACCTGCTGGCCAAGGGGTATGTTACCAGTGCGTGAAAATGACTAGCACAGATCTGTAATCCGGGTGAGGGGAACTCACCACGGACCGTGTTATCAAGTACTTACAAAGACCCCTGTGCTGTGGCGTGACTCTTCTGAAGGTCTGGGGACAGTGACATTCCTGGGGTTTAGAAAGCTGAGGTATTCCAGGTAAAATGCCCGAGATCTGGCACATATTAGTGTGGGATGGGGCAAAAACCAGTATTACCATTTTTTATTAATGTTCTTTTGGAAGGGAACAATGCATTTCAGTTGACATTTTTAGCTATGCAACTACACAAAATGGCTTATGAATGCTCATAAAGCAGTTTCAGGGGGCTTTCCAGGGACCATGGTGAGAGGAAAGAACAACAGTGTGGCTTCACTGGGTAACTACACGTCTGTGTTCCAACCTCAGTCCTGACTCTACCCTGAGTTCCTTCCTTTGTACCCATTTCTCCATTCCTACCGGGTGCAGGGTGGGGGAGAAAAAGGAAAAAATAGCCCTGATGTTAATGAGAGTTTTTGAAATGCTTCAAATACGAAACGGGCCTCTGATTTTCTCTGGCTCTGCTGAGCCTCTCGGTCCGTCAGGCCCAAGCTGCAGGGCCGAGGCCAGGGAGTCGGTGAGGGAGTCTGAGCCACGCAGAGGGTCGAGCCGGCAGGGGGGCCGAGGTCGGAGCAGGAATTTTCCTGGTCTGCTCCGACCTTTTTTTCCACATTTTGTGGAGCACAGTGGTTCTCAAGCCTCAGGGTTTTAACATCTGGTTAAGCACCACCTACTAGATCCTGTCCCTTACGACTCCGAGAATAATCAGCAGTCCTCTTTCCTCTGTGGTCTGGCGGCAGGAAGGTGAGGAAGGAAGGATGGTCTGAGAGGACCGGAGGCCAACAGTCAGAGGAAGGCTGGGAACTAGCTCACGATTCTGAGTGGCGTCTAGATGCGGTCCGTACACGAATGCCTGCTCAGGACAGAGCGCAGCAGGGTAAGACGGAAGTGTGACGTTCACATGTCCAGGTTTGGCCTTTGGTCAGTCTGATGTTATTCTGTATCAGATACAGATACAAGTTTCAGCTAGTAATTTCATACGGTTTTTAAAAAGTTTAAAGACTCTATAGTGAAAGCCGCCTCCCCTGTCTGCCCCCTTCTCGCTCCCCGTGCCCCGGCCTCCTCCCGGTTAGCCATGCAGAGAGTCCGGGGGAGCTTTCCAGCATTTCTTTCTGCAGGAATAAAAGTGCATTTGTAACTTTCCTCTCTCTGTGCGGAGGTAGCATACTATACACTTGGTTCAGTAGCTTGCTTTTTCTCACCTAATATATCCTGGAGATGTTTCTATATCAATAAACGCAGCCCTTCCTCATCCAGCCATGCCTCGTGTTACCATTTCACAGTGGTATGCTTCGCAGATCCTGTGTGTTTTACAAACAAGCTCTGTGGCAGCCCTGCGTGGTCAGATGATGATCAGCACTTTTTAACAATAAAGTATTTTTAAGTTAAGACGCATATGTTGTTTCTTTAGACCTAGTGCTGCTGCACATTTCATAGGCTACTGTATCACATAGACATAACTTCTCCTGTATGCACTGAGAAAGCCCCAGATCTGTGTTGCAATGCTTGCT